TGTGAATAAACCCATTTCCTACTAGTACGATCTTGACTTATAACTTGGCTGATGCTCAGCGTTCAGTTATAAACTATGAAGGAGGAGCATGGTGGGTCATGTGGTTAGGATGCTGGGTTGATGAGCAGCAAATCTGTGTTCAAGACCTGAGTGCTGCTGAATGATGGGGTGAGCTCACGTCATTTGCTCCAGCTCCTTCTAACCTAGCAGTTCAAAAGTGTGTATTCACAAGTAGAAAGAGACATACTACTTTGTTGGGTATGGGGATATGAAAGGAGACCCCAACCGGATGCCCCCTGAACAACAGTGATGTCACTGGCTAATCCTTTTAATCCGGAAGTGTCCTGGGGCTTCCGACAAAAAGGCAATCCAACTATGAAGGGGTAGTTAACATGGAATGTGGAACAGCTACAAAATTAAAAACTGGGAAATGAGGACACAAAAGTAATTTCCTATTATTTATTTAAGTTATATACAGAATAAATTGTGACAAATGGTGGAATAGGAGAAATTAAGAAATTAAGGAATAGGAATTAAAGTTGCTGGAAGAAACATTAATGACCTAAAAAAAATACCACATTGACTGTTGGAAGCCAAGAAAAAGAGTCCCTTGCTGAAGGTACAAGATGGCCCACTATTTAATATTATAGAAAAAATACACACCGGGATTGTGTCAGCATTGTGATTCAACAGTACCAACCCAACACAAATAAGAAGCGAAGCTGAAGTAGTAACAGACTTTATCTTCTTACACCCAAAATTCACAGAAATGGGGCCCGTAGCCATGAAATAATAAGATGCCCGATACTTGGGAAAAGACTAGGAGAGATCTAGACTACATTACTGCAGAGACATCACAATGACAACAAAGGTACATACTGACAAGGCCACTGTTTTCCCAGTTGTAACATATGATTGCAAAAGCTAGAATATCAGAAAATCTGAACAAAGAGAAAATGATGCCTTTGAACAGTAGTTCTGGGAAAAATTGTTCAAAATAACTTGCATGACAGGAACAAAAATTCAATATTAGATTAAATAAAACTTCTCTGCTCTCTGGAAGCTAAAAGTAGAACATAATATAAAGGCAAGAGTCATTTAAAAAATTGAAGGCAATTGAAAGATGCCAAAGAAGACAAAAGTGGCTAAATGACACTGATGTAGTGTTACTTATGACACAAACAGAAGTTTACAAGAACTTAAAGAAGCAGTTAATGACAAACAACACCAATGAAATTACAGGCTGTGTATCAAATCACAAAGAGCTAGAACCAACTCTTTGACTGAAGACTAAAATTGATGTGAAAGAGCAAGGAACACCAAAGAGCTCAGTATTTAGAATTTATAATACAAAACTGATTACTCAAATAAAAAACAGAGACTAAGTAAAACAAGAAGAATTATTCAGGTATATTTTAGTGGTGGGTTTCTCCATTCTGCCTTGACACCACTGTTCCCTCTAAGCTGCGCGGCTGCGCAGCCGCACACATGGCAACAAAACACCGTGCAGCAGTTTCCAACTGCCNCAAATTCAGAGAGCATCAAGGACCTCATAGTTCAACCCTGAACTATAAAAATCTTCTAAGAGAAGAAACTGGATGCACAGAGAATTATTTTTCTTATGGCTTTCAACCCCAATCACGTAGGATTGTAACTGACAAGGGCAATTAATGAATATGCAACAGCCTCTTCTTGTCAATGTTTTTTTCTCCAACATGGGTATAATGAAAGATGAACATGATTAACTTTCTCTCACATAGGGACAAAAATCCCTGAGCAGGACTCATTTAGAGCCCTGCGTAAAGCCATACCGTAGTTCCTGTTTCAAAAGACAGCAAAAATGAACCAGTAAACAAAACTAATACAGAATCATAAGTTCAGGGAGTTTAAAAAAATGCTGTCTAGTTTATAGATATGGGAGAGAAAGAAATAAAATGAACACCATAAAAGAGAAAAGAAATCAAATCTAGGGATTGGAAAACAGGTCAAACAAGATCATTTATGAATCCAAAATTACACACACTGGCTAGATTGGATTTTTCAAGCTATTTGTTTAAATCAAATATACCTAATTTAATTTGGAGATGTATTAACCCCAGTGTTGTTACAAAGGAAATACATGATTGAATGTGCAGGCATATCAATTGGAGAAAGAGAAAGTCTTAATCAATAAAATGTGTATGTGCATATTAAACATTACGACGGCATGAGAGTAACCAAGGGGGACCACTGGTGTATGCTGAAATTTAGTCTCCTTCCTTGGAGCTGTTGATGTTTCCAACAGTTCATCCTTGCTAGGCAGCCTTCCCAGAACATGGCTCACTGTATGAATAATCCCCCGGCCTAAATGTCTGCCCCCTCCTTTTTGGAAACCTGAATATTTCAAAACACACAAGTTAATTAACCTGACATCTGAATTGAATCAGCTTTTAAAGCCATTCCTTTTGTCTGCAACTTACAGAAATTCAAATATGTTAATATTTCATTGTCTGCTAGGAAACAGATATATTAAAAGGCATTCTCTAAGTGAGTCAAACCCAAGTAGATAAAATTACTGCTGTAAAATATAGGAAATATATTCCCTGGCAAATGTTCCTTTATGGCTATCTTCTCCTGGCTCGCAAACAGTTTATTTATTTAGCAAATTCTGCTTTTATCAGGGTAGTAGTACCCCACCCAGGCACATCTACTGGACTGTATGATATACATAAAAAGAGGACTTCAGTTGTGTGGGCAAAATCTCAATCTTGATTTTTTTTTTTTTTAACACACACACAGCGTATAGCCTTTCTTCTCCCCCCACCCCTTAGTTTGTTTCTCTTAGTTAAATGCTGGGAAGGATACTTTTTCTCTAAGTAAACACTTACTCAACAGTGAATACATGCATTATTACAAATTGTAACATTAGGAAACATACTAAACACTCACGCACATGTGATTACACAGTTCAACATTTTTTTTCCAGTTAAAATAAACCAGTGGATTCAACTTGCTTTAAAGATGCATTAATGCATTTAACACTAATGTAAAATCGTCCATGTTGTAGTCTAATTGGGAAACATGTATCAGTCTGCATTGTTTACCGAGTTCCAAAGTTTAGCTTTTAAAGCAAGATGCCTGCCAGCTATTGCATGATTACATTTACTTATGCATTTGTTTGTTAATTTTTTGTGCTGTCAAATCCACATGGACTCACAGCAGCTTACAATCCATATAAAACAAGACAATCATCCACAGTAATAATTTATATCATGACTGCTATAAAGTCTTCAAATTTAAACATTAAAATGCACAGTGAGTTGAAAAACAGCCAACAACTTGGCTAAATCTATAAGTACTTATACCAAAAATTCATATTATCACTTCCATTCAAAATAACCATCAAGGACCAAAACCACTCAAGAACCATTCCATCCTTACTGCTTTTCAGAAGTCCTATTTCATGAAGGATAATCAATTCACAATGGAAGGATCTTCCATGAAGTTTGGGCCATTACAGAGAACAATCTTTTTTGGATCATTCCAAAGGCCTAATTATTTTGATTCCACAAATGGTCAATCAAGTACGACATGAATAAACCATAGGCAGGGAGCAGAAGCAAAACTCTCTGTAACCATTATGTTCTCCAGCAATTGGCCCTGAGGGAAAAGTGTTTCCAATGTAAGAAGTAATGTATGGTCATCATAATTGGCAACTAGTGACAGTCATATCGATAGTTTCTAGGCTAATGAAGTTCATCACTATTGGAAAGATCACTGTTTTTCAACTATGCATTTGATTTCTTTATAAATATGGGCACTGAGATTCCAGTGCTATAAAATGAACCACCATCCATTATCCTCAGCATCTATTAGACATAATAATTAAACACATCCAGATGAAAGGGGGAGAGTTCAACAGATTGAGGAAGTGCTGCTAGGGTTTTCTAGATGTTTATATGGGCCACTGTTTCCCACTGTGCTATTTTTTGCAGTCACCAGCTGGAGATCAGTCTAAGACGGTGTTTCACAACCTGGACCATCTGAAGAACTGTGGATTTCAAACTCCCACAATTCCTCAGTCAGCAAAGCAAATGTATAGACTAACAGGAGAGAGAATTCCAAGCATTTGGAGGGTGCTTGCTCTAGTACTTTTAACTGATTTGATTGTGCTTTGAAGGTTTAACGCTAACTTTCACATGCAAAAAGCTAGCTTAAATCTGAACAAAGGAACCAACCCACCTATTAAGTTTGAGCAGTATTTTTTCTATCTGAGATTTCATGTCCTATTTCATGACCCAGATCTCTCAAAACAATTAGTCTGTGTGCACCTTATTATACCTAGGAAGTTGCTTAGGCCAGGTTTGGCTATTTGTCTGCCGAGATCAACATTTCTCACTCTGAGAACTTTCTAGGAACTCAAGCAGAGGGCTCTTTCATTATATGCTACTAGATATCTAAGATTGATCCTAGGACTTTCTGGCATAAGAGCGTATGACTTACTGTTGAGTCTTGGTTGTTCCCTCAAAAAGCCATTGCTCACCTGGGAAATTAGTCATTCCAGCTGAATGTGTCCCTCATACACACTGAAACCCACAAAGGTCTAATTTCTGGTCCAACAATGCAACAATTAAAACAGAGAGGATCTTTGAAGCATGTTCAACTCCTTTTTCAAAAATGCTAAATGCCTGTTTATTTATATATCTCCCTTTGGTGAAAAGGTCAGGAGAAAAATCACCTCTTTGGTCACCGTTGCTAAGCAACCTCTTTCAAAAGTTCTGCAACACTGATCAAGCATGTTATGTTCCACTGACTGGCTTCAGAATAAATATAAGTAACATCTTACCTGTTCTTCTGCAAGAAGCAAGGAAAAGTGCCCACTTCCAGGCAGATAGCCAGAGATCCAAAGCCATCTGTTATACTTGATACTTCCTAACCAGAAGAAGAAGAAAAAAGGATACGGCCTGGAACCACAGGTTTCCTGTTCACAAGTGCAAAAGACAGCTCTGTCTTCAGAAACACAAGAGAAGGCTTGATGAGATGTTGTCCAAAACGGAGCGACATGTTCAACCCTTTTATGTACAAAATCTGCAGAGGAGAACGTTGGAAAATTTAATTTTATCTCATTTTATCATGCAAGCAAGATCACTGATAGGATATTTTCAATTACTGGAGCTTAACACTTTTTTGTTGTTGTTCTGTTCTGTTCTCTTTTTTTTTTTTCATTTCCCTGCTTGAATCTTCTCAAAGAAACATCTGCGTCTTGGGCAAGTGAACATTAGTTTGCAGGTTTTTTCATCAGTGTATCTCTGTGCTAATTGGACATGTTTGATGTTTGCTAGAGAATGGCTGAGTAAACAATCACAACCTTCCCTGTAGGAAAAAAATACCATTTCTTTTTTAAAAAGTAATAACATTATTATATGATGTCTGAAAATTGTCTAGAAATTATTTGTATCCTACAGGGAAAGATAAAGAGAACTGATAGTCTTGTCCACCATAGCTTATTAGTGTGAAATAATTTATCTAACTGGTCCTTCATTTTTCACATTCTACTTTAACGGGGCCATATCTGGGTTGCCCAAATCCAAAAAGGCCATTAGTAAGCAGCAAAGAAATAGAACATAGAACATCACAGTCAGAAGGGACCTTGGAGGTCTTTTAGTCCAACCCCCTGCTCAAGCAGAAGACCTTATACCACCCTGGACAAATGGCTGCCCAGTCTCTTCTTGAAAACCTCCAGTGATGGAGCACCCACAACTTCCAGAGATAAGCTGTTCCACTGATTAACTGTTGTCACTTTCAAGGAAGATGAAGAGTACCTAACCATTTATTGTCATCTAATGATCATCAGCACTTTTGCAGCTGACATTTGGTCATCTTGAACTAGCCACTCTTTAGAGGATGACACCTTTAGCGGGGTCACCATCAGATCTTACAAGGTAGGAAGTTCACTGTGAAGCAGGTTGTCTTGAAAATGACCAGACCCTGAACCATGCAAGGTGATAATCAGCATCTTGAGATCAGTCAGGAGTTGCAATCAAACAATTAGAGTAGGTGTAAGGAGACGTAAGTTGTACTCTTCCTTTAAGCACTAAAGCCAACTGGGTAATTTGGGGATAGTCTTTTTCCCCCCAGTCCTAGTCCAGGAAGTTAGAAATCATTATGGGCAAAGGAAAAAGAAAAACACTTCTACAATGTTNCTCTCTCTCTCTCTCTCTCTCTCTCTCTCTCTCTAGAAACATATATCATGTTTGCAATAATTTACCTTCTTTTCTAAATAGGCGCAGTTCCCTTACCGGAACCCTCGCTCGCTCTAACCCACACACACACACACACACACACTCATGCACAAAACCATTTTTCTCCATTCCAATTCAGATCCTATAAATCAATTTCTCTGTGAAACATCTGTGGAAAAAAATCAGGTGCTCAGACATGAAAATGTGCCGCTCAAACACTATACTTTTCCGCACACACTGAAAAAAAATTAGAGGGAACATTGATCTCTTTCCCTCACTGTCTTTTTTCAAACATTTATTTCTTCTTTGATTTTCTTACAGATAAAAAATATATTATGTCATGCAGTTAAGGAAATGGTGAGAGCTTTGAAAACTCATGAACATGAAATGGAAGATATTGAAGAAAATTAAAATGCATGGGTTCCCTCCTTGGGCTCAGAAGAAAATAATCTATCGTATTTTTCTTTACGATAAAGAGTGTCTTCACTAATATAAGCTGCACGAACTATCAGTGCCAAGAAAATATGTTTCTTATATTTACTTGCTACTGACACTGCAACAAAATAGACTTTGCTTTCAGTGCTTTTGAATTTAACTTGAGCTTTTTTGAAATGGGAAACTCTAAACGGCACTGAGCTGTTATGTATTATAGTGTAAATGAATTTTTCAAACTGTCAAAAGTTTAAGATGTATTTATTTTTGGAAAAAAACTACAGAATTCTATGCTCTATTGTTGATCAAATGTAAATGTGATTTGTACAGTTTTGTTTAAAATAACCTGGATATTTTTCACTGCATTGAGACAGTTAACTGTGAGAGTAGGATACAAACACCAGCTATTGCCTGCAATTGAAACATTGCTGAATCCGCACAGCAGTCATGTCATGATCTGAAAATTACTGCCAAATAACTGTAAACTTTGTATCATAAAAATATATGAAATATATGCTACAGACACTTCAGTATTTTATTGAAGCTATTCAGTGTACAATTAAACATTTTCAAAAATGTGTAATTTATTTAAAATTTGTCTCATTTTGGTAAAAATTTATGTGAACTTTTAAAGCTAAATATAAAACTTAATATGCTATGTAAATATATACATATATACATTCAATAATGTATTTTTTTAAAACATTGGCTTGCTTTAATTTGTTAAAAGTGCAAGTGTTAAACATGCTTTGTACATCAAAAGTTGAAAGGGGTTTTACATTTTCCATTAAAAGGACTTTATCAAGCCCTGTTGTCATTGTGTGTTTTTCACATTCTATGGCACATTTGTGAAAGATGTGTGTGCCTGGGCAGTCATTCACAACAGCTGCAAGTGTATCTGTGTAATGGTGACTATGTATGTAGTGGTTTTTCATTTAATGTCAATCTTTTTTTCCCTCTCCAGATTTCCAGTGAAAGTGTTAGAGCACAGTTCAAAGAAAATTTAACTAATGAAGAATAAACATAATTAAATTATTTCTTGTTATGTATTATTTTTAACTATAGCCCTGGCTATAGAAAAAAATGCTAGTTTAAAATCAGTGTTAAAAAAACTGCAATTGGCAGATATCTAAAAAACAAATTTAAACTTTTGGACTAGGAAATAAGATATAAATAACATTCTTTGCATGCTTCTGTTTTGCTACCAATAATATATATGGTATTATATTTTTAAAATATTTAAAATATTTTAATACATTTCATGTTTATAATAAAGTAATATTTCCATTCTGGCTGAGCCGCATTCCCCCCCCCCGGTGCGCCCCATTTTGGGCCTAGTAGGCCTCCCTGCACTTACCTGGGAGCCAAAACAGGGGGCAGGGCCCGCCAGCAATTTAACAACCAGTTCGGCTGAAGTGATGCAAACCGGTTGAATCCCACCACTGCCCCTAGTCCTTCTTTTCACTACACTAGACATACCCAATTCCTGCAACCATTCTTCATATGTTTTAGCCTCCAGTCCCCTAGTCATCTTTGTTGCTCTTCTCTATCCAGAGATTTGAAAACTTGGTAGGATACAGGTAATATAGTATGTTGTGTCTGTGCATGTGTGGGAAATGTCATTTTCTCTCCTTTCTGTTTCCAGAAGATTTTATTGGAACTGACACACACGTAAGCCTCTGCCAGGGGCAAGGTGTACAATGGATAGAACATGTCTTTCCTCTTTGGTAAGTGTATTGTCATGCTACTCACAAGGGAAAAAGCTGGTGTAGCAATGTTATGCTGTTCATTTCTTCATTCTGATGAAAGTGTTAAATTTTGTATTTTTCATTCTTCATACTACAGGGCGGGGCATAACCTTTTCCTAGGGGGTCACAGCAACACTTGTAATAACAACACAAATAATTCATACACCATTCGAAAGCCCATNGCCAATTTTTGCTCATTTCCCCCACCTCACCCCCTGCCAGGAACTCTACAAGCCTCCTAAGGACTATTCATGCCCTTTTTAAAAGGGAGGGGGGCATTTTCGTGAAAAACGGGCCATTTTTGGGAGGTTTGCAGAGTGCAAAAACTTTTTATTTATTTGCCTCTTCAAACCCTTGGTGCGTCTTATACTCCAGTGCGTCTTATACTCCTAAAATACGGAAGTTGGATTTCTCCATTCCTATCTGTACCATCATTTGTGTTTTGGCCTTTATGTTGCAAAAGCAGTCTAAAGACCTGGAGGCGTGGAAACCCTGGTGCCCAGCTGACAAACACACACTCAAAACCTTGGCTCAGCTCAGTAGTGCTGGCCATTGCAGAAGGCTCAGAGAACAACTGTGTGCAAATGAGGCTGCAGACAGGGACTCTGGAGTGACCTTACCACATAGTTCTTTTCCGATTCTGTGAGTTCGGGTCCTGGCCTCAGTGAAGGCTGTTTAATTGTTAAAGTACATGAGAAGGGAAAAATTTTAGCACCGGTACCATTAACAAGATTCAAATCTTACAAACAGCACAACATTAGCATTCCAACTTTAGACAGTTAAATGAAATAACGGAACTGGATGCAAAGACAGGGAAGATGACATGAGAGGCACATTCACACAGCATTTGAGGTCCCTTAGCAGGAGGAAGACGTCTTCTATTCCCTGTGACCCCAGTTGGCAAAGGTAAAGGTTCCCTTCGCACATATGTGCTAGTCGTTCCCTACTCTAGGGGGCGCTGCTCATCCCCATTTCAAAGCCGAAGAACCAGCGTTGTCCCAAGACTCTCTGTGGTCATGTGGCCGGCATGACTAATCCCCAAAGGCACACGGAACACTGTTACCTTCCCACCAAAGGTGGTCCCTATTTTTCTACTTGCATTTTTACATGATTTCAAACTGTTAGGTTGGCAGAAGCTGGGACAAGTAATGGGAGCTCACTCCATTACGCGGCGCTAGAGATTCAAACTGCTGACCTTTCTGATCGACAAGCTCAGCATCTGAGCCACCGCATTCTTCTCCAGTTGGTACTATGGGCCATTTAAATGATTGATTGATTGAACACGTATATCCCTGCAATTTTATCAGGCTCCCAAATTTAGAGCATCTTACACACTATCACCAAAGGTAGTGGGGCCTACAGTGTGATCACAGGTATAATAAAGAGCTACTTCCACATAGACAATTTTACAGAATCTAGGTAAATAAATTTAAACATCCCTCCTTTGAAAATACGCAGGATGTGAATTGTAATGCTATTTTCTGAGGGGCCTGAGGACAAAGTCCTCCTGAGCCCCTGGAAATCCAAGGCATCAATTCTTACACATCAGAAAACTAATAAGAGAGAGAGAGCAAAGCAAAGTTACAACACGGATTAAAGAATAAGCACCAAGCATTAGTATCTGTTGTATGTGGTGCATTGGCCTAGAGGTGGAGCTCTCGCCTCACAATCAGGAGGCTGTGAGTTCGATCCTCGGTAGAGACAGATATTTCTGTCTCTGGGCAGGATGAGAATATGTCTGCTGAATAGAACTCCACTGGCAACAGGAAAGGCATCCGGCCAGTAAACACTCAACTCCATTCAGTGGCCCAGACTCCGTCACTCTTCCTTTGTGTATTTTCTTTGCAATTCAGTTTTTCCTTGTTAACTCTCACAGCGATTGCTTCCATTGGTATTCTACCCCTTCCCTCCCCCAACGAGCAGCTTCTCTTGCACAGAGAGGGTGTTTGAAGACATTCCTGTCCTGGGGAGGTGGACTAAAAAGTGGCCACGGGTTTTTCTAGCCCTTGGATTCTACTGTTTTGTTTCTTTTGACATTCATTCTGCAACAACTTTTTAGCAACATTCCTGTGTCCCCATCCATTTTCCCATCTTTAATTCTACTAATGTTGGCAAATTCACTTTGCGGCTGTAAGCCTATCTGAACATGCCCCCCACCCCTCCAGGGCCATGCCTGCTTTGTCTCCTTAGCATTTGCCAAAGCTATGGAAACAAGACTATTCAGGCAAGCTTTTGAACCTGTTGCCATTTCCTTTTTCTACATGTTTTGGGGAAGATGTTTAATTTGAATCAGAGGTGGGTTCCTACCGGTTCGGACCGGTTTGGACAAGTAGGTAGTAACTTGGCCGGCCACGTCCCCAAACCGGTTCTATCGGTGGCGCTATAGGTGCTGCCATCTGGTTTTGGCTTCTGTGTATGCGCAGAAGCAATTTTTTTACTACTGCACATGCGCGTGCTATGCGCATCAAGCCCAAATGCACACACACACACAAAGTGCATACCTGAGAGAACCGGCAGCAACAGAAGCCAAAACCCACTCGATTTGAATGGTACATTTTATGCAACTTTTCAGATACTACTTGAAGTGTGGTAATGCCTGCTAAGCTGGCAGCAGAGTCGGACAGTGAGGAGGTTGGGGAGGAACATGGGCCAGTCCTGGAGTCTGGGGAAGGCTCGGACGAAGGCTGTGCATCAGAGGCAGAGAGGGGGCCAGGGCTATCTCGGAGTTATGTGCTGCCTCTGGAGTCTGACATCAGTGAGGCAAAAGAACAGGGGGAGCCTATTCATAGTGCACGCATGCGCAGAGCTGCCAGAAGACAAGAACAGTTAAGACAAAAGAGGCGACTTGGGAGTAAGGCTTGGAGATGATTGGCCCCTCCCATAAGACATAAAAGAGGACCAAACTGATGTGAGCCTTTGCAGGAAGCAATTTTGTTCATTCTGGTTGGTTGAAACTCTGTGCTCTGCAAAACTAATCGGCAATTAGATCTTTGGCAGCATGTCAAGGGAGATAAAGGTGGGTGCTTATCAGCCTTACCCTGAAAGACTGTGGCAGACTTCTGTCAGACTCTTCACAAACTGTTTGTGACTCATTATGGGCTGTGAATGAACATAATTCACAGCCATTTAAATAAAAAGAGGGGTTTTTGTACCAAGCATGTGGTTTATGCATTATCAGGAAGCCTAGATCAGAACGATATAATGATATAAATATGGACAATATAAATGTATGTAAATAAAGAAGAAATAAGATTATTTTGCTGACCAGCCAAACTGCTGCTACTAATCTTGTCAAACAAGCTACAGCACAGACATGTGTGTGTGTGTGNTTCAATTAAAAAAAATGTTTTGTCATGATTCTAATTTGAGTGCTCTATTAGCTGTTAGCCACTATCACTAATATTAACTCTATTAGCTGAAATTTAATTAGAATTTCAGGGATTATATTTTCTAAATAGTAGGACACTGGAAGAAATTATCCAAGTCCAAATACTTACATATTTTTGTATGGAAATGCTGCTTATGTCGTGGAAATTTACACTGAAAAAAATGGAAACACACACACACTCTGAGATTTTTTTTAAAAGATTTACATTTAAAATGTTAGCAATAAAAGTATGTCAGGCAAAAAACCCTGGATAAAACCCGTGCAGGTTTTTTTTTAATGTAAACAAATCTACTTAAACCAGAGTATTGCTTTCCCAACGTAACAGAGTAACAGAGTTTACGCTGACATTCGTCTTGCATGAGAGTTGCCCTCGAAGCATCCTCGCCTCTCTCCAGCCTTGCTGACCATGCAAGACCTGACCACCCTCACTGACCCTCACTGCATCTCTACAGAGTCACCTTGACTTACAGCAGCTCTTGCACACACCCTTCATGACCTATGGCAGCTCTTGTGCTAACTATACACTGCCATCCTTCCTGACCTGCACCACACCCCTTATGCGCCAACCTGTGCAACACCTCTTGTACAACCCTTTGCACCACCACCCTGATCCACATGCCACCTTTGGTGTACCCCCTGTCTTGCACATTCTCCCTTACTACCCAGCACCTCTTGCACCCAACCTGAGCACTCTTCCTGACCTGCACTCCTGTGGAAATGATGTAGCAAATCCCCAAGGCAGGCATGGTTGATGGGAAGAAATGTGGCTGTTCTTAATTTTCTCCCCACCCCACCCCCAAATCTGCTTGCCTCCCCAGCATAATAAGCTTTAGATTAGAGGTGGTATTCAGCCAGTTCTGACCAATTCTGGAGAACCGGTAGCGGAAATTTTGAATAGTTCAGAGAACCGGCAAATAGGCTGGCCACGCCCCTGCTGCCTCCTAGCTGATCTTGTTGCCCTGAACAAGAGACTGGAGCTGGAAAGCAGGTTAATGGGGTAGGGAGGGAATGGGGATTTTGCAGTATCCTTCCCCTGGCACACCCACAAAGCCATGCCACGCCCACAAAACAGGCAGTAAAAAAAATTGAATTCCACCACTGCTTTAGACAGACTTGAATTGTGCTCCAAATCACATTCAGAAATATTCATCAGGTTGGGACAATCTCTCAGATAACATCTAAGTAACCAGGGCAGACTTTACCATTTCATGTTGGATTAATATTTATTTCATATTTTACACAAAGAAACATGCTTTAAACATTTCCATTTGTTAACTGTAAATAATCCTCTGTAAAATAAAACAGACAATAACTTTTTTCTTTAGAACTATGTCAGCAGAAATATAAATATATAGTAATTAAAAATGCTATTGTGGATAGTTACATGCTACCAATATTGATATTTGCAAAATAAAACCGTTCAATTCTGTCACTTTACTGCCAATCCAAAAATAAAAATATTCAAATATCCCTTAAAACAGGGTAGACTACACCTCTTTTTAATATATTACTAAATAAAATAAATAGGATTTTTGAGCTATAGCAACGCCTTTGCCAACCCACTAGGATGACTTGCAACCCCTGAAAGCGCTTGTTCGCCTTGTAGTAAAGGGGTTGTTTTGTGATTAGCTGTGCCACCTACAGGTGTTTTGGGAACTAGCAGCCCGTCTGTGGTCTCAAGTGACCTCAGCTGTTTCAAGCCTAGAAATGGATGGCATTCTAGAAGCTTCAGCACAAAGCCGCTTAACGCACTAAGCCATTTTAGTGCAATAGAAGCACTGATGCAAAGTGTTGAAAAACAGTGTTTCGTAGCCCAAGTACTAATTTATTTAGTGTGATAATAAATAAAACGGAAGCGTCCTCCTCAAACTGTTTTTAAAAGACTCTGCTTTATATTTCAATTTGCAATATAAGATTTATACGTTTTTACAAAGGGAATATACATATCTACAATCATATTATTAAAGCACTTCAGTTGCTGTTTTTGGCTGATCTCGGGATGAAAACGAAACACTTCTATTCTGGAGACGAATGTATAAGAGAAAGAAAGTATGCAGAATGTGAATCCCTATAAACTATAAAACACAGCAGAAACAAGGTTTATTTTAGTGTATCATTATGCAATTCACCATCCAAATGACTATAAAAAACAGAAATAAAGTCCAGTAATGGGAAAATGTCAATCAATTCAATAGGGTTTACTCCCAATCAAGTGTGCACAGTAGAAGTTGACCGAATTTCTAGTTTATTGAAGAAGAAGAAAAAAAAGATGCAGCCAGAAATTACATTTATTATCAGTTCTAGAAAGGCACGTTCAGGAATATTTTGCAGAATAAATCCAAATAGACTATGGCGGAACATCGATTCCATCTTCCTTTGTTCTAGCCGTTTAGTTTGGAATCTGTCAAGTACTAGAACAAGCGTGGGGCAGGCCTGGCCTTTCAGATGCTGTGGGGCTACAATTCCTTCTGGGTTTTTTTTTTTAGGTCCTTGGGAGAGGAGGAGCTCCATGACAACTTGGCCTTTTCCTATAAAGAGCAAACAAAAGCTGCAGGATGTCTGAGCAATCTACACCCTCTGCTCCTGGCAGTCTCTCTCCTTTTCTTCCTCTGTCCAACAGAAACCCTGTTGTGTTTCCTTCTGTTATTCTCCCCCCCCCTCCCCCCCTCCGGTAGCTGAATAAAAACAGAAACACAGCAGAGTATCACGGCTTATCATCCTGTCTCCTCTCTTCCGTACGCGTTCGAAGGAAGCAGGAACTTTGCAGCACAACTCCAGCATTTCACCACGTTCCATGTGCACGCCTACTGTCTTGACTACTCCATTCAAAACTTCTCTTTCCCCAAGGATCGTTTTAAAAAGGGTCTCACACTAATCGGGTCCTCCTCCAGATGAGACGAAGAGGTAGCCCGTGGCTTCTAAAGGGATAGTAGTTTCACGTAGTTTCCTGGGAAAGTCCCAAACTGTTGGGTTCTCCTTGATGTGCCTACGGTGGAATAAAAAGGGAAATCCAGATAAGACAGACTGCCGTGAAATCCGTGGGAATGTTATTTTAAACTGGCGAGGCCCTTAGCTTGCTTGTCGTCAATGATCTTGGTTTAACTGAATCAACATCTAATGATTTCATGAGTTTGCTTTGGGGACGAATAAAATGATATAGACATTAAAAATATGTACCGTATTTTTTGGAGTATAAGACACACCTTAGTTTTGGGGGAGGAAAATAAGAAAAAAAATATTCTGCCTCTGCCTACCAACATCCATGGTATTCATCTGGCTAGCGTCCTGTCAATGTGTGAGAGAGTTGAGGGCTGTTTGGAAACACAGTATTTGCGTTGTGAGCAACAAGGAAGAAGACAGCAAGGAGCCTGGGTGTGGCTTGTTCTGTATTAAAGCTGCATCTTGTGCTGATATCTGAAACTAAAACTGAAAGTGAAATTTCTCTCCTCTGCTGAACTACCACGTTGGAAAATCTGCTTTTGGTATTGTATATTTATTTAATGTGTTATATT